TGTGTGGATTAACCAACAGATTTCCCCTGTGTGATAACGTCCCTAAGCAGACAGTGGAGGACAGGGGGCTTGGAGAGATCCCATCCACAGGGTCACCACAGGTCAGGGTTAACTCAAGAGCAGTTAACAACAACAAAGTGAAATGGTGTTCTTTATTTTTTTAAAATAGTCAAAATCAAAGTTTCCTTTTAGGGGAAAAAAAGAAACATATTCAAGCTGTGGATGGTGGAATCTGTAGATGTAGAATCCATGAGTAAGGAAGGCCGACTGTATATAAAAGGAAAAGACCCCACCCCAATAGTTGAACTTCCAGTTCCCAAAGAACTTCATGGATTTTGGTATCCACAGGAGGTCCTGGAACCATATCTGATTGGATACCAAGGGCCCACTATGCTTCTATGTTTGCAACTTCAGGATAATACATTATAACTTTAGTGCAACTAAGGCTTTGCAGAATAGTTAGCCTCCTCTGTTAGAGAGCTCTAGTGCTCCTAATGGGGGAGTCACCACTGCTTCCCAAACATCTGCCTTTTGGCAGATATAAGCTGTAGTGTTCTCCTGTGTCCCTTTACAATGCTGAAGAGAAAGGGTGAGTGGTGTGAGGCTCAGTGGCAAGAGAAAAGAGAGGCCCCAGTTTTTTTAAAATATATATATATCAGAATTTAAGATCTAAATATATTTAATTAAAATATAATAATTAACATTACATTGAACTAAAATAAAAATACTTTTAAAATATTATTTTAATTTTTTAATAAAAACATAACTTCTTATCTTTAACCACTCTGTGAAACTATGTACATGTAAATACATTTAGGATGTGCATATGATATTGTAATTTAACAGTATACTTTTAATTTTGCTAATTGTTTATGTCATAACCATTACCATTACATTCAGTGATACCCAGCAAGTACAAGTTATGAGTAGCATTAGTACAAAAAACATTACTAAAGATTTTCTATGGTGTAGTCTGAGAGAAGGTCAGGGGGGAGGTTGATACCATTTGTTACTACACTGGGTGACACCAATCCTAGTGATGCCACTGCCTTGTTGTCTGCTGAATGCTTTCTCTTTTGGACCTGTTAACATTTTATAGATTATGGTGATAATGAAACTCTGCTTAGGTCCTGCAGATTCAGACCTGTGACCTCCCTGACTGAATCTATCTGTCTGGCATGTGGGTTTTCCTCTCTTTCTGTTGCCGTCTACCTTCCCTAGCATTATCACCTTTCTAGTGAGTCATACTTTCTCATAAGAATGCCTTCTTTGAATTCCAGGGTAAAGCATACTGGCAGCTTGGAGTGGCCTCTGGCTTCTTCAGCCCCAGTCATCCCCTGATGAGCAAGGGACCATGGTTACCAGATGGCCAGAGGGCCATTGCTTCAGTCCCAAATGGAATGCCAGCAGGAGCGGCTTTTTGCCACTCCTTTTTGTGCCAGCTTTTCAGAGTGGATTCCAGCTGTTGGGGGGCAGATATATCATCAGCATGCTCCACACCTGAAGTGTCCCAAAGCCAGTGCTTTTTGCCCATCTGTTTTGGGCCTCTGTTGCACAAAATTTGTATGGAGTTGATGTCCCAATTTTCAACCAGTTTGCATCTGAGGTCAAAGTTCCAAGGTCAGCTTCTCATCTTGATGCTTAGAATCTTAGTGTCAGAAGGGAGCATAAAGGCTGTCTAGTCCAACCCTCTGCCATGTAATAAAACACTTCTGAAAAATGCCCACCTAGCTTCTATTTAAAGATCTCCAAAGTTGCTTTGAAGCAATCTGCTTTGAAGCCATCTGATCCATAGCTGAACAGCTCTTAGAGTAAAAAAAAATTCTTCCTAAAATTTAGGTGGAATCTCTTCTCTTGTTATTTGAATCCACTGGTTTGCATTCTGTCAGATGTTTGGTTGGGAATGTTATAGGTATAGTTGTTTAAGGGGATGATAGGCAGGATAGTATTTGGGATAGGCAGTTAGCTTGAATAGTTAGTTTTTGGAGCTGTAGGCTGATGGAGGTGGAGGGATGGGTGTAGTGTGGTGTAGGAATAGTTTTGAGAATGTCTGATCTTTGGAATGCAAGGCTGGGGGAGGAGGATGGTACTGTGGAGAATGTTTGGCTAAAGGAGGGGGGTTGATGTGTAGTTTATCTGCTGAAGAAAGATTGCTGGTGTGAGAACATGTAGAAAAGTGGGGTTGACTGGAGGATGAAAAAAGAGCTGTGGGAACAGGAGGTGGGTGCTAGGTTTGGCGCCAAAGGAGGAGGAGTGGAGCCCATCAGTTTCAAAGGGTTTAATTTGGCATTTGTTGTAAGGGGGGGCAGTTCTGGCTTAAACACTGACTGGTGAATTACTGACTGTGTGTTTTCAATAAACTCCTAATTGATTCAGTTCCTGAGTCTTGTGAGGCCTGAAACGTTCTAGTCTTTGGAGCAAAAGAAAAAAAAAATCTTACTCCATCTTCCACATGACATCCCTTCAGATATTATCATGCCCACTGTCAGTCTTCTTTTTTACATGGTTAATATATCCAGCTCCCTCAGTCATTCCTTATAAGACGTGGTTTCCAGACTTTTGGTCATCTTGGTCTGGACATGTTTCAGGTTGTTCTTTTTGAACTGTGGTGTCCAGAACTGGACATACACACACACACTTGAACTGATAATACTTGATTATGCAAAGTTTACTGCCCATAGGAGAAGAAAACATTCCTGATCTGGAAAATGTACCATCTTCACAGTGATATTAAAACAGGTTTCTTGTTTTATTTAAATGGGTTAGTAGAAAATCACATCTGTGCAAATCTCTGTGGTTATTCACTTTCACTGAAAATAATGGCTCTTCTTCAGAGGTTGCTTTTTAAAATGGTTAAGTATGCAGGTGGAAGCCAATAAAAACTGTACAATTTTTCATTTCCATATTGACATGATATAATTTTTTTGGCAGAGGGGAGGGCACTGCTTAGTGCTGATACAACATTACTTTGGCACTAATATAAAATAAAGCAGGTTCCATTTCCTTCAGTATGAAATCACTATTCATCTAGCAAATTACAGCCATCCCTGTTTATTAGCAGCAGGAAGGTGCTGGGACCTTGCAAACATTCTCTCTCAACTATTCTGCCAGATGTGTTAGTGCAAGTATTTTGTCAGCAAGCTACCTGATATGACAGCAGTTTCATTTTAATAAGAAAGAAATCGGCACTGTAGCCCATTGTGATTTAAACATTATTACACAGTCATACTCGGACTGAAATGCATCATTGCAGCACTCAAGAAAATGAAGGGAATTATAAAATGAACAGTTTTGCAGTGCCAGGAGAAAGAAAAAGATGCTCTTTATGAAATGCAGCAGCATGAACAAGATACTGAATAATGCTGCCCACCTGAACAACAATACTGATTGGTACTGCAAGCCAGTACCAGCATATTGAGAGGCAGTGTGGCATAGTGGCTTGAGTGCTGGATTGTGACTCTGGAGATCAGAGTTTGATTCCCACCTCAGCCGTGAAACCTACTGGGTGACCTTGGGCAAGTCACATACTCTCAGCCTCGGGGGAAGGTAATTGTAAACCTCCCGCGATCAAATCTTGCCAAGAAAACCCCATGATTGGTTCACCTTAGGTTTGCTGTAAGTTGGAAATTACTTGAAGGCACACAACAACTGCAAACAGGGTTTAACACAACTTAAAATACATGGATAGGAAACACATTTAAAGACATTGTCAAGAGCCTACATAAGGGCTGCATATCATTAAGAGATGCAACATTGTGTAGTGGTTTGAGCATTGGATTATAGCTCTGGAGACCAGGGTTCGAATCCTCCCTTAACCATGAAAACCAACTAGTTGTCTGTGGGCAATCACATCCCTTCAGCCTTAGAGGAAGGCAATGGCAAACCTCCTCTGAGTAAATCTGGCCAAGAAAAACCCACAATAGGGTCACCTTAATTCAGCATATTCACTTGGTTTCCAGCCATTAATAAGGAGAGTGAACGTTTGCAGACACTTTTTTTAAGGAGATTATTATCTGTACCCTCATGTGTACACCATCTGACTTTCTATGCAGAACTGGGATTGAATGCTCTTGAAAATGAAGCCTGGTTGATGACATATAGGTTTTGGTTTAAGATACATTTCAGGCCTAATAGATCTTGTCTTTTATGGTTCCTACTATCTGATGTTTATTATGCTAGATAGGCTAAATTTTATGAAAGTAAAATAACTTCTATGGGTTTAAATTTTGATTCTCTCCTTTTGTTAACCGAAAAGGAGTGTTTCTAATCTATCAGGGTCTGCCTTGCAGAGACAGATTATCAACTGTCACATCCAACACCTCCTAGGCTATGTTCACCAGCAATGCTCGGTATCCCGCGCCCCCCCCCCCCTTGCAGGGTAGGATTCCAGATTATTTTCAAACCCTTTCATTGCCGGTGTTGAGGAAGGCCTTTTTATTTGCAAGGCTGACTGTACACCCCTCAAATGTGACCAGGGACAGATATTTACAGACCCCCTTTTTTGAAACGTATATGCCACTGTGATCAAGCTCCGGACATTCTCCATCATATTTTATTGCTTTGTCCATTGTATATAATTCCTAGGAGAAAATTACTAAAGAGGTTATTGGAAATAAATATCTGTTTGGATGGGTTATCAGTGGAATACTTATTAGAAGATCGGAATCCTCATATTGCTAGGCTAATGGCCAATTTTCTGGTGGAGGCAACAAGAGTATAGCTTAAATTTTATAATAATGATCCTGAAGTTTTAAATAAATAAATGTAAATTTTATTGTTATATGCCTAATAAGGGTTGACTGGATGAATGAAATGAAATTTAGAAGTGACTTAAAGGCACACAACAAGAACAACAACAACAGAGCATAAATATCCCTATATAGTTATACATTACGCAGTCATTATTTTGAATGATAGTGTTCTGCCAAAGGTAATGCAGCTAAATGTACTTCTGCATCCATGTGCAGAGTGCATACATATCCATGTGCAATATTCATGTCCATCCATGTGTAATGTGCCTCTGTATGCAAAGTGGCAATGAATGTGCAACTCTGCTTCTGAATCCTTGAACTGTCTGCAGAGGTTCCACATTGGACAAAAGTGTGTTCTGTCCATTAATTTTCCTGCACTAAACTGAGTACTGGATTAGATGCCTTAAAGACGCTTTCCAAATTTTGATTCTATGTCCAATACCATACTACACTTCTACTGTAACTGCTATGGCTGCCTGCTATGGAATTCTGGGATTTTTATTTTAGTGTGGCCTAAGTGTGCTCTGGCTACATTCATCTCCTTAAACAACAAATCCCAGGATTTCACAGCTATATCATTTAAAGTGGAATAATAGTTCTATAGCAGTGTGGAGTGATATTGTCATATGTTTTCAAGGGGCTCTGATGAATACAATTTACTATAGTGAAAAGTACCTAGCTTTACATGGCCTAGAAAAGCCCTTATTTGGATACATTTAAGCTTTCAGGCAAACATACATTGCTCTCAGAGAAGATTACTGCACTACACTCTTATAGGGCTACTATCAGCTTTTACTGCTCTGGCTGCCTCTGTAGCATTCTGGGACTTGTAGTCCAATGATGCCTAAGAGATCTCTGGCTGAGAATTCTAAATGCCCCTCCCTAAACTGCAAATCCCAGAATGCCACAGGAGGCAGCCAGAGCAATAAAAATGGTATAACAGCACTATAAGACTGTAGTGCAGTAATCAGAGTTAAGCACATGGACCTAAATCCTGTTCCCAAGTGGAGTACACCCATGGAATATTGGAAACATGCAAAGTCAACTTTTATTCAAATTCCATTGATTCAGTGATTCCGTTGGGACCAAAAATAGGATTCAGGCCATTCGTCCCACCTTACATGAGTGAAGCCATATCTTTTGGCATCTCAGGGCATTTTCTTTCCCATAGTGCATCCCTACAATCTAGGACAGGGGTAGGCAACCTAAGGCCTGGGGGCCAGATGCGGCTCCCCGATGCCTTTGGACCAGCCCCAGGCCGGTC